TGCTTATGTGGTGCTGAGGAATCGAACCCAGGGCCTCATGCATGCAAGGCAAGCACTCTACCACTGAGCCACCTTCCCAGCCCTAAGAAAATATTTTTAAAAGGTTAATATCTCCCCTCCCCATAAGTTTGATTTGAGAATCAAATGAGACCCAATATGGAGAGGTCCTTGTACCAGCAGCCAACAGACACTCATTGGACACAAGGGGAGGGGCAAGGGGATCTTTCTCTTCTTCTAGAGGCTGCAATATGTGACAAAGATTAGTTTTTGTTTTGTGATGCTTGTGGTAGTGGTGGGAATAGAACTCAGGGTCTTGCACACACTAGACAAGTGTTCTGCTACTGACGTATATCCCAATCTAGTTACAAGTCCTTTTGTGAGCTCTTCAGCTGCACTTCTTACCATGTTCCTGGGCCCAAAACACATGGGTCACAGGGACAGGATAAAGATATACATTGTACTATACTAGGTAAGTACAAAGTCATCCTAGAGGTGGCCCTCCTGGGCTGCTCAGTAGAGGTCTGTCCTTGATCCTGATCATTAAAAGCAGGGTCTGAGGCATGCTCTGGTGGCTGTAATCCTAGCTATTCAGAAGGCTGAAATCGGGCTGGAAAGGTGGCTCAGTGGTAGAGCGCTTGCCTTGCATGCATGAGGCCCTGGGTTCGATTCCTCAGCAACACATAAGCAGAAAAAGCCAGAAGTGGCACTGTGGCTCAAGTGGTAGAGCACTAGCCTTTAGCTGAAGAGCTGAGGGACAGTGCCCAGGCCCAGAGTTCAGGCACCATGACTGGCAAAAAATAATAATAATAATAATTTGTCCAACCCTAGCCCCTGCCTTGTAGCTTGGTTTACACAGTTCACACAAGTCATGAAGCCCCTTCCTCAGGCTCCATCACTGGATCACTAGCCAGCCAGTCTCATTTCCCAAAACAGATATCCTCAGAGGTCATAATGCCAATGAAAAGCAGCAGCCCCTCTCAGCCTTTCCTAGTGCAATGGGGGAAGGTGGCCAGTGAGCTGGGCAGGGCCAACAGCACTGGGGCTTGAGAGGAATCAGACCCTGTAATACTTGAGCTACAAGGGGACCAGGAAATCACCTGGTCTAGCTCTTACCCCTATACAAGGCTGACCAGTGGATGTACACAGAGGCTGTGGATTTCTAGCCCCTGAGGAGAAGAGTCTGAATATAGATTTCCCTGCCCCCCATTCAACCTTCTCCCCACTCAGCAACATCATCTTTTTTTTCTTCAAGGTCTCCTGGCACAAGAATGTCTGGTTCTAAAACCAAGGGGAAAACAGATGGGCTGGGGTGGGGGAGGGGAACATATTCTGGGTGGGGAATTTAACAGCTTAGAGTCACAGAACCCAGGGGTAACCAAGCTGGGTCCCCAGTTCCCTTCAGCAAAGGAGTCTCTGACTTGCATGTGTGAGCATAAGTGAATCTGCATCAGCCCATACCTGTATGTAGCCACCTCTAAGCTGAGGGACATCTTAAGGTGTGCCAGCTGCTGCCGACCTTCCAAGACCTGAGCAATCTGGCTCTGTAGGCCCTGCTTCTCCTGTTCCAGAGCCTCCACGGCCAGCTGTGGAGCAAGCCAGAGACAGTCATTGGTGTACTGAAGTACCTCCTGGCCTAGATCGTCCTTTCTGTTTGGCACTCTGACTGATTTCTCTGTAGAGCAGGTCCCAGCCTCCCCCACCTCCACCCAGGGAGCCCCTACTGGGTTCCCCCCAGATGCATGTAGAGAGGTATCCTCAACCCTCTCCCAAGCCAGGGTCCCCTAGAGGACACGGATTAAATGGTAGCACATGTTCTTAAGAATTCATTTGGCTCCCACAGGAAGCAGGATGTGAAGGGAGAGAGGAGATGAGTTACAGAGAAGGGGGAAAGTGGAAGCAGAAGGAAAAATGATCCACCAAGAGGCCTGCAATCCTGGATCCCATCCTCCTGCTCTGCACAGCCCCTCCTCCCCACATATTCTGGAATCTTCCCTCTGAGAGGAGTGGGGAGGTGGCTATGGCTAGACCAGAGCCACCTTGTCTGGCCCAGGCAAGAAGCTGTTTTCTCAGCTGTTGGTCATATCTGTGCAGTGTGAAGAGGAACAGCTGCCCCAGGCCTCTGGAATGTTCTCCAGGGAGCTTGAGAAGCCATGTTATGGGAGAGGGGGCTGGAGGCCACTCATCCAGGGCCCCCTTGCTCTTCTGAGGGGAGAGGGCTGAGACTTGGCCATTCTACCTGGCTATGTCCTCAGGGCTGACGGAGGAAGTGCTGGCCACTTTCTGAGGGGCTAGGGAGACACAACACAGGGTGGGGGTAGGGAGCATCATGGGAGGAGAGTGTGGGCTGCTTTTCCTAGCCTGGAGTGGAGTCTATGACTGCCTGAATCAGCTGCCGCCCCTTGCTCCACTGCTTTCCCAGAAGTCTTTTAGGGATTCCTAGAACCAGGTCTTAGCAAGATCAGAGACCTCCTCACCTGAAACTTTTCAGTGGCCTGCAGCCGCTCCTGCCAGCGACTCTCCAACCTCTGTTCCAACGCCGCCCTGCGCTCCTGGAGTCCGCCGCGCTCCGCCTGGAGCTGCTGTAACTCTAGGCGACTCTCCCGGGCGCCCTGCACCGCTTGACCCAGCCGCTCGCGGGACTGGCCCAGCGACGTCTCCATGTGCGCCACGCGCTCCTGGTAGCCGCGCACGGCCCCGCGCCACGCCTCCCCCAGCCGCCTGGCCAACTCCTCCACCTCGGGTGCGGGGGCCGGGGGCCCGCGGGGCGGCGCGGGGCCGCGGGGGGCACAAGAGGCCTGGGCGTTGAGGCTGGCGCGCTCCTCCTCGTGCGCGGCGCGCAGAGCCTCCAGCTCGCGCTCCAACTCCGCAGCCTGGCTGCTCAGCCAGCCTTGGGCGCATTTCTCGGTCTCCACCGCACGCCGGTGGCGGGCAGCCTCCTCGGCGATCCGCTCCCGGGTCAGCCGCACCTGCTGGCACCGGCCCGCCACGCCCTCCAGCTCCTCCGCCAGGTTGTCGCGCGCCACCTCGGCCGCGTGCTTCTCCCGCCAGCGCTGGTCCACCAGGCCCCGCAGCGCCGCCAGCTCGTCGTCGGCACGGGCTCGCCAAGAAGCCTCGGCGGACTGTGCGCGCAGACCCGCGAGCTCCGCGCTGAGCAGCTCATTCTGCTCCTCCAGCGCCTTGACCCGGCCCAGGTAGGCCTCCAGGCGTCGATTGAGCTCCCACATCTGGAACGATTCCTCCCCCATGCAGCCCTCCATCCTGCTCGCCAGCCCCGCACCGAGCGTAGACCGACGCGCACGGGCCCTCGGAACTTTGAGGACTAAGAGAAGACCTGCCGGGGACAATGGCCAGGAGCGGCGGGAGCAGCCCAGCGACTGAGAGTCCGCACCGCCGGCGCCCGCTATTCATACTCCCGCCAGCCCGGCGGGCCAGGGGCGGGGCCCGCGCTTTAACCCCTTAGCGCTCGGCCCAACACGCAGCCGCTGTGGTCCCAGCACTCGAGATGCCTGGGGGTGGAACCACAAGACAAGCCAGACCCTGGGGAATCCTATACAATGGTGCCGGCTTTGGGGGTGGGGGGTGTGGGAGGAGGCTGTGAGGGCCAGCATCCTTTCCCCTCTTACCCCCCCCTCCCCGCATCCAGGATGAGGTACAGAACTGGGCCCTTAGAGGGGATGAGAGTCACCATTACTCAGCACACCGAAGAAAGCTACCACTTCCTGAATTAAAACTCGGTCTCTTGCCAGGCGCTGGTGGCTCATGCCTGTAATCATAGCTACTACTCAAGAGGCTGAGATCTGATGATCACCCTCTGAAGCCAGCCAGCCTAGGGAGGAGAGTTCCTGAGACTTTCAGCAAAAAGCCGAAGTGGAGTTGTGGCTCAAGTGGTGGAGCGCTAGCCTTGAGTGGAAAAAGCTAAGGGGAATACCCAGCCTTTGAATTAAAGCCCAGTACAAGCAGAGAGAGAGAGACAGAGACAGAGACAGAGAGACAGAGATTCTCATCCATCAAATGTGATAATGAGGGGCTGCTGGGAGGATGGACAGGGTCCTGAGCTTTGCAGAGAGAATGTGCGCCCTGGAAGGAGAGACACTGCCTGGAAATAGGAAGAACAAATATCTGATTCCTTATGTATAAGTATGCAAGCTGTACAAACACCCTGTTGCCTCTGCCTCAATTGGGAAAAAGGGATGGTGGGAAGGGATGGCCTAAGCTTGAGAACATTTTCTCCACCTCACCTTTATCCTTACTATTGTTTGCTTTTGTTGTTGTTGTTGGTCATAGGGCCTGAACTCTGGGCCTAGGCTCTGTCCCTCAGCTCTTCAGCTCAAGGCTAGCGCTCTACCACTTGAGCCACAGCACCACTTCCAGCTTTTTCTCCTTATGTGATACTGAGGACTCAAACCCAGGGCCTCATGTATGCAAGGCAAGCACTCTCCACGGAGCCACCTTCCCAGCCCAATCCTTGCTATTTTTGAACGCACCTACTCAGAGTCTATCCTTGCTTTAGGAAGTTCTCTAGCTCTCAGGAGAAGTTTGCCACATCCTGTCTTACGTGGGGAATTTTTGAGCAGAGGGCGCACCCTGCTGGTTTACACATCAAGTCTGGAAGAAGCTATCCTAAGAGTCAAGCTCTTACCCTAAGTCAAACTGAGCTGGCTCTTGCCTGTAATCCTAGCTCTGAGGATCATGATTTAAAGTCTGCCCAGGCAAAAAAGTCTGTGATACTCTTATCTCCCATTAACCACCAGAAAACTGGAAGTGGAGCTGTGGCTCAAAGTGGTAGAGTGTAGCCTTCAGCAAAAGAGCTCAGGGACAGCACCCAGGCCGAGTTTAAACCCCATGACTGACAAAAGAAAAGAAAAGCTCCAAATTTATTATACTTTGTGATGCACCAAATCTTGTTCTTGTTCTTTCTTTTCTTTTCTTTTTTTTTGGTGGGGGAGGGTGGCTGAACTCAGGGCCTGAGCTCCTTTTTTTTTTT